TGACGAAGAATTGGAGCAAACGCAATGGAGCCTTTTTATATGTAGGGTGAAACAATTAGAAGAAGGTAAACGGAGTATCTGGCTTTGCAGGCCGTGTCTCTCTTTATGAACTCGGATACACAAGGACGAAACGTACGTGCGATCAGGTACCTCGTTCTTACCCCGTACATTTGCAGAGCGTGTCCTAAGGGCGTGTACGGTGTGCGTCAAACATGCGGTTGCTCTTTCCTTTCTGTCATTTAACTCAATTGAGAAGGAGAGACCGACTCTGACGCGTCACTTCAGAAGCAGCTTCTATTCGTCGCTTGCCCCTGTAAATAGCGTGTTGGGTGATGAACTTCTCACCTCCATTTCCCCCACTTTTAGACCTTGTCGTCACTCTCATCCCACGACTTCCAAAATAAACACCGCTTTACTCCGTTCGACATACAGCCATTCACTATTCTAGTACTCAGTGTTTTGCGGTGTAGAGTCACAGCCTCCATACGATTCTGCCATCAAAGCAATGGCTCTATGTCGCACATAGAATCCCCGTAAGTTTGGGTGCGGCTTGTACCCCAGACACGACGCCACTCGGCGACTGTCGACTTCGGCCCGCTCTCGCATATAGCCAAGGACAAGCAAGGACCGCGCGCTCCTACTGAAGATCTTTGTACCCCGGCATGGAGCTATGGAGCCTCGCATTATCGCATGATATACCAAAGCACTCATCTATCAGGATAGAGGATGGCACACACAGTATGGAAAACACGTCAGTGTCGCCCCATGCACACCACACGTTCCCTATCCCGAGAACATGGCGACCGGAGGAGCTAAGACTGTGGCTTCTCGTGACACGTCAGTACATGTCCTGAGCGCGGATATGCAGCATAGTGACGAATACTGAGGAAAATTTAGCAAAGGAGAAAGAATTCGCAATACCAGCTAAGACCCAAAGGCACTGACGATGAACGAAAACTCACGATTGTTATCAGCTAATGAACGTCGTACAGACGACTCTGATGTTGAGGCGCACGAATAAGATAATTTTGCGGCGAGCTAACAATTGTTTGCATTTCCTGGTCTACTTGCACGGATCCCAGTACTTGTATGAGCACATAAGTTCTGGCCCGTCTTCGACGCACCCCCGAATGCACCAAGAATGGAGTACACAGCGACGTGCGTGCATCTTGCATTGCAGCAACAGCAGAAAAAGGGAAAAATGCATCGAAACCAAAGGAGCCTGACAGCTCTATCTATTGTCGCCTCTCAACCACCTACGGTACGGATTCTGCCCGACTTTTTGTTCGCACGATCCTTCGCAGGCGCTAACAGTGTCATCCTCGGAAAGGTCGCCGCGAAGGGATGGGCAGGCCCGCCCCCAAGGCACGTTCCCTATTTGCCGCGTCCCGCCTGTATCCACCCTAGCCTGGCGCGCCCAGACCTGCATGAGCTTTGTCCCCTTACAAAAATTGAAAGATCTAATTCTTCTTCTCAGACAGCGTTCCTATTTCCTAATCCAGAGCCGGACGGGATCGACATCGACAAATTGTGAGATGGGGAGCTCAGCCACTCTTCCTCTTTTACCATGGACACTCATACAGAGGTCAGGGTCGAATAACGCAAGTAAACTATGTGCAAGGAAAAGACGGCCACAGGATACATCCTACTATGTTTGAAGTGGTGGGTTTGAACCCGCCCTTAGCTTGATATCGTCACCGCCACCTTACCGCAGTTCCCGACAGCCCACTGATTAGCCAGTTACCAGTTCCTCATAACACGAAAACCAAACTCCTTCTACAGAATACGGAGCCTATTCATCTTGCCCCATACGAATTACGCTAGCATATGCTCCACCAAAGCAGGATAAACCAGGACGCCAGCACGCTACGCTAGTCATCCTATCGACAACACTGGCTGGTCATGCACAACTTCAAAAACTTCGTCCGCCACCATGAAGACGACAAGGATATGCGGACTGGCCCGCCTGAGCACCAGCCAGGGAGAATGACAGCGGAGTGCCCACAACACATATTGCCCTGTACGTTCCTATCGAGTGCAGTTGCCAAGAGGAGACTGAATGTAAACAACATCTGGCAAACGATTTACGTCACGCAGAATTTGTTCTGTGGCTTTAAACATGGTCACAACAATGGACGGTAAATGTGGACTTTGCCACGCCGACTTGGGATGATTGTTTTTATTTCTTTTTATGACTAGACCTGTGCCAACTGGCACCAGCACAGGTCATCTCTCTCCAAAGACCTCAGAGCGTCTTCTGCGCTAGGCACCCGGCCCCCTATTCAATTATGTTATTTGCCATAAACCAGACTACAGGAACAACATCTCGCACTGGAAAAAAGGACCTTTGAGCCCTTTTGTCGCTGTCCTCATCTTTTCACTGAAGTCGCCATGCGGTAGACGCTTTTAAATCTGGTAACAAGAAACCTTCACTAACCATCTCCGAAGACATAGTGGCGTTGTAGTGAGCTCAGTTACATTGGAGCAGAGCGCGGCCCAGATGAAAACATACAGCGAACCAAGTGCACCAACAAAAAAACCTTGTCAACAATACGAAACGCCACGACTATTTAGGAAAGAGAAAAGGAGAAGCGTGATGAGCCAAAGGCATTATGACAAGCAATGCGATCCCCTCTCCTTTCTTAATCCATATTCTTTAGAGGGCCCATTTCCTTCTTTTCTCACTTACACGGTACTTTAGTTTGTACCGAAACAACTTCATCTCATCCATCAATCTTTGGTCACCTGGCCAGATTTACTAGCGTTTACAATGACTGGGCTGTGAGGAAATCTTGATTGACTACGCTCTATTTGCCAAAGACTCGACACTTCGCGAACAACATATCTTGAGTAAGTTACACCTAGCACTCTCGTGCTCTGCTCCTTCGGCCCTCCCTCATCTCCCTCTCAGGTCAGTCGCCAATACACATACGTTTCTACATTTTAGACTTTTTCCACGAGCACAACACGACAATGCTCGGCAGACAAAAGACGATCAGGTGCAACGAGAACACGACAGGGGTAGAGAAGGCTTGTAGAGTACATGGTACTTGCAGGCAAGTACTCCAAACCAGGCCTTCCAAGAACCAAACTGGGACAAGGCAGATCCATAGTGCTGGCAACCCCCCACCCCTGCTAAATTACATTTTTCTTTTTTCTCCCTCTTTCCTATTTCTTTCGAGCCTTGCTTAATAGGGTATTACGGAGTATTTTATCTATCTTATTATCATTTTTATTACCGACAACCAGACGCGTGGGAAAATAGGAGGAGGTAGAAAACTTTTCTTGTTTGTTTTCCCAAGGGAGGTCCGTCCCATCCCGACTTACATCTTTCATTCAATCCATTCAGATGGCTCTAGTGCTGCAAGTCGTTTGGCCACTCTAGAGCCAGTCGCTGCACAGGGCTTCACTTCAGCACGATGAGTGGCTAGTTATCGGCTGTCCATCATCATCCGGCGCCCCATCGACACAGCGATTCAAGAGCTACCAGCCAACCAGCCAGCCAACCAAGCACGAGAGTCGTCTCTGGACGGAAAGCACTACGAGTGCGAAGAACGTAACGCAGACCAGGAAATGCACGCGCGTGCTCTCTTGGTGTGGCCTGGCTATCCGTCCATCTCCCACGCCCATACCCACTGATCGGCTTACACGGGGTGTTGACTTTGGACGGTCAGAGAGAGGCTTTGTGCTTATTGTTAGTGTGAGTGCCTGCCTGCTGAGAAGGATGGGTTTCTACCAGGTTTATTATTTTTCGATACCCCTTCCCAAGCCTTCTCGACCAAAAGGAACTCGTCCCTGTATTTTACTTTGGCACACTACTTCCTTGTCGTCTAGATATTTCTCTCAATTTTCTTCTTGAGATGTTTCCCAATGGTCTTTCGCCTATTCTGACACCTTGATTCCTTTTTTTGTTATCACCAGCCTTTTCGTCCTCGACGTCCTGCGAATCTCTTCGCTTCCAGTCAAGCTCACCATTTCCACCTTTCCCTCCAGCGCACATGATCATTCGAAGGCCAGCTGCTTCCACCAGCCAACTCAGGCCTCCCATTCTTTGAGGTTCACGTTCTGCGGTTTTTCATCCCTCAGTTTCGGTTCTGATTTTCTTCGATCTCATCCTGCGTCGAAGTGGCTCAGCGTCCAGCGACAACTGACCAGGACCTGCGCCCCTTCTTCACAGCCTTACTAAGTTCTCAGCACTTACCAAAAACGCAGCATCTGCTAGTCACCGTCAACACGGACATCCAACAGCAACGACGTCTTCTTCAGCTGGTCCGTTTTAGCTCCGCCAACGCTATTTTGGTCTTGCCTCGTTCCATCGCCATAGATGCGAGCTGTGGCACAAATAGCTTGGTTGTCGTTCTCTTCTTGCTTTCCACACATCTCTCCCTTATGCCTTTCCTTCCATATTGGGTAGCTCTCGTTTCAATCTTAACCTTCATCGGCGACACACACTAGCGGCAGCACCCGGTCCATTCGAGAGCCTTGTCTTCAAATCTGAAAAGAACATCGTCAGTATTAGTATCGTCGAATCTAGCCTTCACTTTGGTGTTTCTTTGTACTCCACCAAAACTGTTCTAGAGAAAGAACCCGGGTGTTTGAAAGAGAACCCCGCGCAAGTTTTGACTCTTGTGGACGCCACGGTTTCTCCGGCTTCCAACGACAAGCAGTGCAGCCAGTTTCATCTTCTTCACAACACTGCTTTCGGCACCGCTTCCAACAAAAACGGCGAGTGTCTGGCAGTCGCAAGCACAGATATCTCGTCCACTTGCTGGCCCGCGATAGAGGGCACAGTCATCGTGGCATCTTCGACGACGACAACACTGCTACGGCAGCCACGATCAGAAACATCTTCTCTACCACGTACCCGGCTTTCCGCTGGGAAGGTGGCAACCGAGGACGCAATAATTGTTGCCACGACGGCCGCTCTCTTCACTGCAGCTAGTACCGCCGCCTGCGTACGAAAACTGACTGGTGATCAACCCAAACTGGAGCTTGGGCCTATGCCCAGGGCCTTCCCTGCAGAAATCAAGGAAGAGGAGAGCGGCCGATGCCGCGGTCTATACGACCAAGAGCGGAAGATAGGCGACAAGAAGCATTCGATGTCCGAGCAGGCATTTGTGCCTCGTCCTAACTCCCACCACCGTACCTCATCGGACGTCAACTCACAGCCTATCTCACCCCGAAACAACGACATCTCCGTCACGCCCGTCACCTGTCTCTCCCCGACTACTTCCCCAAACAAAGAACTTCGTCATCTGCTTTACCGCAATGAGCAGCATGACACACGCCCTGCCGAACGAGGCACTCATACAACCAGCACAGGCGACAATTCAACATCTTACTGCCACGATATGAAGAAGCGCTCTAAGCCAAAGAGCACTGCCATTAGCCCCCAAAGAACGATCGACGTAACCGACACCAACGCCCTCCCTGGGCTAATAACGAGCACCATGGCACAGGAGCGGGAGGCAGGTCAAACGGATAGTGCGCCAACAACATCAATCTCTGTACCAGAAACGGCTGTGCAGGCGGCCAGCACTGAAATCCGGTCCGCACAGCCAACACCCTCCCGAACTCTAGGCGTCCACAACATCTTAAATCCCTCTGAAGCTCAGGCAATAGCACACAGCCCGACCACCGTGCCTAGAACATCGTCGAGGGAAAATGCGGGTATGGACATGGGGGAATCTCGAACGCTGCCAAGAACGAGGCCAAGCAGCGCAAGCAGTCCCCAAATTGGATCGGCCTCCAGTGCATCTGGTAACCACCTTGGCCGTGCGCAGCAAAGTCACCCACAGCCGCCACCTGGATTCCAGGTGGGAAGCGGCAGTGGCGGTGGACGTCTACACGGCCCTTCTAACTTCGCGCCCGGCAGCTACGGCTCTGGATATGGTCAGTCAGCGTCGACCGATTCGGGCCAGGCACCAAATACGTCAAAAAGTCCAGGAATGGGATTCGTGCCGCTATCTGGGGCCACAGGCTCCGACCAGGAGTCATCTCCGCGGTTGGGGCACTCGCATACGAATCCTTCTCTTGGGTCGCAACCCCGCCGAATTCTGACACCGAAATCGCCGCGCCGAACCAGTCTTGGAAGAGGCATCCCGGGTATGGGCACGTCGGGTAGTCAGCATGCATTGTTTCCCGGGGGAGCAGGTGCGCCACCCGTACCTCCTCTCCCTCCTAATCGATTACAACAGAGCATGAGTGCCCCCAACATCGGTCCTGGGTCAGGTTCCGGTTCTGGATCAGCGCAGATGGCTGGGTCTGTGCCAGGATCGTACTTTCCGCTACATGCCGCACCAGGCCCGCCACCCTCTATGATGACAGGCGAAAGTCCACAGAGGTCGTACGCGAAACCGTACTATCCCAGTGAAGGTGGTAGGCAAGGGCCAGGTCATGGGGACAATCATGGGCCGTCTGGTCAGGCGCTTGAACCGTATCAACACCATCATGACCACAACCAGCAGCAACAGCAGCAGCAGCCACAGCAGGAGGCCCAACAAACGTCACGCTTACCATTCCCCCCCGGTACCCGGCAGGGAGGTTTCGCAACAACCACAACTCCAAACAGGACTGTATCTGCAAGCAACGCAAACACTAGCAGCAGTGAGGGTTCATGGGAGGGCCATGTAAAAGCTGCCGGCGGCCCCGGTGGTATTATTGGTGGCGGACGCTCGGTGTCCATAGCGGAAGGACAGCAGTTCATTACGATTACACCCTCCTATGGCGATGAGATACATGTTCCTGTGGATGTACACCAAGCATCGAAACAAGCAGACGAGAAGCGGCTTCGAAACGCCGGTGCGTCGGCGCGGTTCCGGGCACGAAAAAAGGAGAAGGACCGTGAGGCACAGATTGGGATACAAAGACTTGAGGCCCTGAACAGGGACCTGCAGAAACGCAACCAGGAGCTGGAGGCACAGCGCGACTTTTACCGTAACGAGCGAAACCGACTGCGGCACATCATGTCGCAGTCACCGAGCATGCGCGAGTACATCGATTCTGGGCCGCCAAGTCCTGCGTCTACATCTCTGAGCGGTCCGTCTTATGGCGCTGAGGGTAGCCCCATGACTGGTAGCAACGTCCAACCAGCTTCCGCACAGCATCTACAAGCGCCGCCTCAGCAGCAGCAGCCACAGCCACAACCTCGTCTGCACCCTCAGCACCTCCCACAACACCAGCTGTATACGCAACATCCCCAGCATCCACACCAGCCGCAACGCCAAATCACACCGACTCACACACCGGGCCCGTTGTATCCGCCCATGACCACCGCACCTGAGTTTTCTGGTCCCCCGCCAGCACATCTTCCAGGAGCTTCAGACTCTGCCGTTGGTGTGGAACGCCCATCGCAACGTAGACGAACGGATTCGGGGCCGAATATTGAATACTACACGCCCTCGTACACCACGTCTGCACCTCCGCCCCCGATATTGCCGTCATCTCTGCCACCGCCAATAGCGCCAGCAGCGTCGTCAAGCTTCCATAGTATGAGTCCGTCACCACTGTCCGGATCGCCGAGCAACCCTCGTCTACCTCCTTTACGCCTGGACACACCTGGAAGCAACCCGAGCAGCGTGGGCATTGGCGGTGGTATGGGCACAGGTCCACCAACTCCCGAACCTACGCACGGTAGTGCGTCAGCTCTACCGGTTCCACAGCAATATCCACCTGCAACCACGGCGTCCTCTACCTACAACCGATCCTACGATACTGCGGGATGGGCGGCTGATGCTCCCGCATCGCACCCGCAACATCAGCCTCCCGATTCAAAGTTCCAAAGATAAAGGAACGGCCGTGAACAAGTATAGGCAGGCGTGAACCTGTCAATCTTTGTTACTTTCCCAATCGTCTTGCTCTGCTCGTGCTCATTGTTGATTACACGGTCTGGCTTCCTTTAACTATATGAGTAACAACCACTACCACGCTCATTTTGTCAAAATCCTTTTCCTTTGTCGTTTCTTTCACTATACTCTCTGACCGGCGTCACATCCCATCTCCCATCCCCTTCTCCACCTCTCTGTGCTATCGATCACATTCATTCCAATCTCGTCTCCTTTCTCTTATGTATTCCGCCCGTCCCCTTATCGCTCTTTTACTCCGACATCTTGTCACATTTTATTCCATGCTCCGGAAGCATCACACTATTTCACACATAATACACTCTTATTAATTGTTAGAAATCAAAAGAAAAATCGGGCTTTCTTTGTATCCTCGATTTAGGAAAACGGGAACAAGGCGACATACTGCACCGACAGGGGTTTGGTAATTTTGCTTCTAGACGAGCATTTAGCATAAGCCAGGCAACTGGCTGCTGTTGTGTTTTGTTATAAGCCTTATTTTTACGTGGCTTCATTGCGTCTCTGTTTTTTTTGTACGATGCTGCATTTTGTTTTGTCATCCCCCTTCGCATCATTTCCCCAACACATTCACCACTCAGTTTGCTCTAATTCTATTCATTTCATCCGCAATCACTGGACAGCATCAGAGCCCACCAGCTAAGCAGCAACGGATTTTTCGAAGCTTCAGGCTCGTTCTTTTGCTGTGTCCTCCCTACCTCTTTCTACGTTACTCTGTTTATATCCCCATCTGAGAAACCGCCCTCAAACCCCCGCAAAGCGAGTCCTGTCATTTTGCTTCTCTTGTTTCTCGTTCTGTTTGTTCAACGTATTTGCTTTTAATCCTCTATATACCCACCTCGGTCGACCATCATTTTTATTAGTACCTTTGTTACTCGATTGCACACATTTTTCTTACTTCAACCAGATTGTCTATTTGAATTCCCCTCCTTTCCGTCTCTGCTTTGCAGTCTTTAAGTGCTGTTTTTCAGTCCTGGTCATATTTCTTTTACAACACTCATCATTCGAATCATACCAGAGCTATCCGGGTTAAGATACAAGGGTCCAACAGTACCTGTACAGTGGAAGAGGGATTTCCTCAAAGAAGGGCCCCGGAGCAAACAAGGTGTTCATTTGATTATGGTTTTTGTTTTTTTCTTTTGTCCCGGGTTTTCTTTACAGTTTTGGGTCTGTATATGTTGATTGTTTCTTTTATTTTCTTGCGAACCTGTTTTTTTCTGTTTTAGATACGGTGCTGGCTGGAGTTGAACTGTATTACTGTCCGTTGTCTTGTCAAGTACACGGCACGGAATTGGGTTTTCTTTATTATGGCTAGGGACACGTTTTTTGTACACAGATTGGAACAAATTGGACACACATCTACTATTTCTTGAATACTTCCAGCGGCTCCTGACAAATTTTGAAGTGCTGTAATCACAAAACCTACCATTCCCAGTTGTATATTTAGTTCGTGTCAATAGTGACGACGGGGGAAAGATTAATATATAAAAAGGGGCCTATTTTTATACTGTAAACAAATACAGTGTGTATCACAGTATAATGTATAAACACTGTGTGGGGCGCTAAGCGCGACACGACTTGTATGAAGCTGGCAGGAAAAAGCTACTGACTTCTGCCTAGCCAGCAAAAGCACAGTAGTGCACAATCTTGACATCCTGTTTCGACGACAGCTTGATTGCTCAGGCTCTCTCTTTCTGGTCCCTCATTTTATTGGGATAGTTGAGAACAGAAACCACTGTACAAGGTTGGCTTGAAGCCATTTATCATTTCTTCGGAAAGAAAGGGGTTAGCAAAAGGCGAGAAAGCAAAGCTCGAACAACCGCAGGATGAAGCACTAAACAACCTCACAACAGTCGCGTCTGCTTTGCCTCGCCCGACTCGTTCTTCTCTGTTTTATTTTCTGCCTCTCGTTTTGACTTTTCTACTTTTTTTCTACCTCCTCAAAGTCCTTCGAAATGGATGGCCGACGCCTCCAACACCATCTGGCCCTTGATGGCCCACGACTGGAAGGCGAGCAGCGGGAAGCGGCCGAGAGCCAGTCCCTTTTTGACGGGTTGGGATGCGATTCCGTTGCTGATGCAAGTCTGTTCTTTGACAGTGGCGTATTCGGCGCAGACTCGGACTTGGGCTTTGACGAGCAGGACTCGCTGTTTGGCGGCGACGCCGATATGGAGGGTCTGTTTGGCGAACTCGACGACGAAAACGCTCGGCATCCGGGCTGCGCATCCCCTCTCCCCTTCCCGCTCGCTCTGCCCCATCCACCGCTCCCGCTTCCGCTGGAGCGCTCTTGTGACGTTAGTACTCTCCTTTCAGAGCATCAAAACCAGCACCAACACAAAGAAGCAAAACAAGAAGGACAAACAACACAAGCACCTGGACCCGGACAGGATGGGATGGGAAAGGAGGTGGAGGATAGTCTGTTGTTGCCTGATACCGGTCTTGACGACCTCCCTGTTGTCGATTTTGACTTCAACCTTGACTTTGATGTCGACATCGGGCTGGTGTTCGAGCTGGAGATGGCCCGGCAGCTAGAAAAGGGTGATGGTGATGAAACAGGAGAAGCAGGAGAAGAGGCAGTCCCATTCCCGTCCGGTGTCCAAGAGAGCCTTGTTGCAACCACCACAAGACCAGTTTCCCCCGCATCAAAAACATCTGATGGCGGATGGGTTTCGTCACAACAAGCACGTCCAGGCATTGACATTTCCACTCACGCAGTAGGACCAATAGTAGGCACCCAAGACGATCAAGAAGGCCGAGGGCTTGCCGCTACCGACAAAAATGACGACGGCGACGACAACGAGGTCGTCTTTCTGTCCTCGAGACAAGTTCAAGGGTTTGTTCATCCACTGCCATTGCCGATGTCGATTCCGCACTACCTCGAACTCCGGCCGCGCTGTCCGCAAGGCCCGCCACCTGCGCGCATCGACCTCGACAACTGGAACGTCGAGGAGCTGCTGCCATACGTTCAGCTTCGTGAGCTTCCCCCCCCCCCCCTTTATATTGTCACCTCCGTTCTTCTCTCGTCCTCTACCGCCGACTAACATTGTAGACTCGAAACTGACAATCCGCGGCATCCAAGACCGGCTCGGCCTCGATATAGACGCCGGCCGCTACATTGTCGCAACGTGCCACGAGCACCTTGCCAACCCGGCGCATACGGTTCACATGAGCGGCTCGTCCGACCCGACAGCTCTGCGCATCCTCAAGGTGACGTTGATCCTCAGCTCGTTGGCGCTACTCAAAGACGACGGACATGGCCACTTTGGCGTGGGCCGGCGCTGGTTTGGGCGCGACTCACCCCTCGAGCCAAGAAGCATGCACGTATGGCCGGACGACTCAACAACGCAAGTCTTCCCCTTTGCCCCCCTTTCTCCCCTTTCCCCCCTTTGCGCCTTTTGCGCCTTGTTTACACACTGTGCATAATCTGGCTTTTGCTAACCATTGCTCAGTCTCACACTGCTGTTCATCCAGCTGTTGTACCGCATAACACGCAATAAGAGGTCACGAGACCGGTACCGCAGGCTCAACCCAACGTCCCCCGCTTCTACACCTGGGAAAGAGCGCTTGCCAAAGTCGCAACTGTCGGAATCGTCAGCACTGGTGTCCCCAAAATCTCCCGAAGAGTCCGAACTGAAAACGTTGAAAGTGCGTACGGAGAAATTGACAATGCCAAAGCCAAAACCGCGAAAACGGAAGCGGAATACCCCACAGCCACGGGCTGAATCGAAGCCTTCGGTGGAACCTCCGACCGTAAATCCGCCACATCCACACCCTACTATCAACCTCGAATACAGTTCACCAAGGGTACGTCCTCTTCGCCTCTCTGCTGCAATATATCCATACTAATGCACACCTCTTAGGTTCTCCGTGATGACTTGCTGTCTTCGAGCGCCAACAGGGACGCCCCGCTGATCAGCAAGTCGAAGAAGGCCTCACCTTCACCCTCTGCAGCCCCATCACCCGTCACGGCCACACCCACAATCGATCTCCGCCCTGAAACCCGACCACCGGCAAACGCCAACATCCGCTACCATATCAACATCGTCGACGCCCGGTCGCAGCAGCGCGTCATCCCACAGATCGTACTGCACCACGAAGACGCCATCCGCAATGCGGGCTACTCGTATGTGATGGACCTGTGTACTCAGTCAGGCAGGACCGTCGATGCCGTGTCTATCATGACGCTGCTCGGCCTCGAACGCATCACCAACGACGTAAACTGGGACCTCGTCGTGAGCCGGGTGCACGGTGAACTGCTCTTGGACGGCGAGGCGCGTGTTCTGGTGTGTTTGCAAAACTGAGACGAGGGAATGCTAAAAGGAAGGGCCGAAGCAGGGATGGCGTCCACGATTCAACGACTACTGGGCGTTTTCGGGCATTTGTATTCATGTCTGTACCTTACGACTCGTTTTTCATGTACTTTTATGTCAATAGCAAAGTTAGCGACCTATTTATCCGAGAGAGAAAACGACCCGACTTGCACCGTTCATTTTGCCAATATCACATTTGCAAGGTTCCCCGAACCTGTCGAAAAATGCACGTCAGCACCTGGACCAATGCTCCCTGATCAATGCTCTTCGATCTACGGAATAATCCTGCAAGGTTTTTTTTTTGGCCCTATCGTTTAGAGTTACAGCCCTTACAGTTGTAAGACATTCCTTGGCTTTCCGCGCTTTGCTCTGCCAAGGCTGTGTTCATCTTATTTAAGAACATGGGTCAGATCGCCATAATCACCAACAGTGGCCAACACGGCTGGCACGTGTCCCGACTAACAGCATTTTGCCGGGGTCGACCACCTCACGCCGAGACTTTCTTCCCCGTTTATTTTGTACACCGTCGCATTTCGACGCATTTCAATCCCGTCATGACGTCCCGATTCGTGACACCGAGAGAGATCATAGTTTCTCGAATCGGGCAAGAGCAGAGACCGTGGGCATCCGGTTGCTCCTGCCTCTCGGGACGCCAGACTTGCCGATCATTCTTTAAAGCAGCTGCACCTTCCTCCCCTCCGTGCCACGCTGAATGAGACAGTGTACGACATTCCAGGCAATCGCAAATCTTCCCGCCGGTCCTCTCGTTTCATTTTCTACCTCGGTTTTCCAGCTCCAGAATGAAGGGATTTACCGCCGGCGCTACGGCACTCTTTGTCGCGGCGGCTGCCGCCTGTGATAGCTGCTATGGCCCCATCAACCACGTCGAGCATGTCCGGCACGCCAAGCGCATCCAGCCGGGCGCACCGGAGGCCACCTACGGTCCGACACGGCCGCTCGAATGGGGCCAGCTCAATGTCCTCCACACGGTTTGTCGTCTCCAGTTGCCATGTCCAATTGTCACGATCGATTCCGACGATGCCATAGAGCACACTCTCTGACAATCGCCTTTGCTAGACGGACACCCACGGCTGGCTCGAGGGCCACCTGAAGGAAGCAAACTGTAAAGTGCTACTCTATTTCTGATGCTCTCAATTTCCTCGGAAACTAACAAGGCAGATGGCGCCGACTTCGGCGACTTCATTTCCTTCACGGCGCATATGAAGCAGCAGGCCAAGAGCTTGGGTGTCGACCTGCTTCTCATCGACACGGGTCAGTCTCTGGCGAGTAGAGCGAGAGCGCGAACGAGAGTGAGAGTGAGATGCGATGAAAAGCAGTGTTGTGTGTTCGTGTGTGTTCCCTCTTGCCAATCACTAACATCCGCTCCAGGTGACCTGCACGACGGAACGGGCCTCAGCGATACCACCTCGCCCGACGGCCTGCTCTCCGACAAGGTCTTTAGCGAGCTGAGCGCATACGATCTCCTGACCATTGGCAACCACGAGCTCTACCTGGCGGACGTTGCCTACCACACCTTCAACGACTTTAGCTCGTTCTGGGGCGACAAGTACCTCACGTCCAATGTGCAGATTATCAACCCGGACACCCAAGAGTGGGAGTACGTCGGCAAGACGCACCGCTACTTTACGACAGAGAATGGTAAGCGAGTGGCCTTTTCCAACTCTACTAGGACAACAGGAGCATGCTAACATGTCTGCAGGTCTCCGCATCATGGCGTTTGGCGTCCTGTTTGACTTCACCGGCAACACCAACGTCTCCAAGGTCATCCCGGCGTCGGAGATGGTTAAGCAGTCTTGGTTCACCGACGCCATCAACACGAACGAGCCCGTGGACCTTTTCCTCCTCATCGGCCACAACATTGCGCGTCCCTCTACCAGCGGCAGCACGTTCCAGGTCGTCCACAACGCCATCCGCGCCATCCACACCACTACGCCTATCCAGATCTTTGGTGGCCACAGCCACGTCCGCGATTTCGCCGTCGTCGATGAAGCCAGCACGGCTCTCGAGAGCGGCCGCTACTGCGAGACTGTCGGCTGGCTCTCCATGAGCGGCTTCAACGAGACCAACAGCGGTCGCACGGGTGCCGCGAACCCCAGCGGCGTGGTCAACCCGACGCGCAAGGCGATTGCTGTCAAGTCAGACCAGACGGAGACGGCATCGCCCTTTGTGTACTCGCGTCGCTACCTGGACTGGAACCGCTACACCTTCCTGTATCACACCGTGGGCTCGTCGTCATTCGACACCCCGGCCGGTCTCAAGGCCACGGACGAAGTTGCCGCCATCCGCACTCAACAGCGCCTCGGCGAGGTGTACGGCTGCGTGCCCGCCTTTTACTGCCAGACGTGCGTGCCCTTTGGCGATCCGACCAACATTTTCACCGTCATGACCGACGCCGCCAGCGAGGTTGTGGTCAACCCCAACCGCGCCAACAAAGCCCGCATGATCTTTTCCAACACCGGCGGCATCCGCTTCGACATGCACAAAGGCCCCTTCACCTACGACGACAACTTTATCGTGTCGCCCTTCCGCAACGTCTTCAAGTACATTCCGGACGTGCCCTTTGCCGACGCCAACAACCTTATTCACCAGCTCAACAGTGGCGGTGCCGACAAGCGCAGCCTGGCGTCCGTGGATACCAACACGCTGTTTGGCAGGGATGCATGCGTCGACCCCGAGGTCAGCCTCGCCAGCCGCGAAGCGTCTACCTCTACGCCCGACAGCTCCCCGCTCGGTATTGGCCGCCGCCAGGTCCAGGAGACGAGCGGCTACACCACCACCGACGACTTTGGCACCGACGGTGACGACACCGCGCACTCGGGGATCCCCAGTTACTCTATCCCTCTTTACTACATGGCCACCGGTGGCTACCCCAAGTGCCGCAATCCGGACAAGGTTGATGTTGTCTTTGTCGATTTGTATGTTTCCCACCCCTCCCCTGCGATCTTTTTGGTGGTTTTTTTTTTAAAAAAAAAAATTGCACCGCTTTTTGTTGTGAGTTGCCTGTTCCCCTTATCTAACGAAAGTAGCATCCAATCCTACATTCTGTCGTACCTCGGCTCAGCGTACTCCGAGGCGGACGTCACGCCGTACATTTCTGAGAACTTTACCTCGCAGGACTACTTGCTCCCTTACGTTCAGAAGAAGTGGCATGCCAACATTGACAACTGCCCCCTGTGAAGAAAAGGGAGCCGTGGTGTGATGTTTGGAGGCGATTGAAGATTGCGTGTTGGGTGATCACGTGACGCTACCAATCGTATCAGGTCATCAGCAACAAGCCAGCAAGGCTTGAGTTGACCAGCAAGTTATATGTGAATACTAATAAGACTCATATCAACTCATTCTTAACCCTCATAGTATACGTAAGATCATAATCGTTGCATATCATGACCGAAATGGAAGATTCATGCACATGTCAATCTGATCAGATTATCACGTGATTTGGATTATCGTGACAGGGCGTACTGCCTTTCCTCGAGACAGTACAAAAGTGGCTCTGCGGATGCGATATTAGATTGATAAATACAATAAACAAAACTTCTCAAAATAATAAATCCAAAACAAAGGGTATCGTCAGATGCCAATTCCACATGCATTTTAAACTCAATGTCCTGTCGCCTCCCGAAGGTCCCCCACCAAGCACCAACGCCACTAGGGTCAAGGCCCACTTTCCGTCGCCAGCTGTCCAGTCCTCGTTACCCAAATAGTTTATCGCCGACGTCATTTGAAGGGAAGGCACGATCCAGCACCGTTCAGCCTCGGACGACTTTCTCGCTCAAAGCTCTCCTTTTCTTGGAATCTCAAGCTTTCTTTCTCAATCTCTCCCTCCCACCGTTTTGACAAGTAGTTGTCGCTCCAGAACGACAACGCTTCGTGTACAATCCAAAAAACGGCCCGCGACGTACGCAAATCAACCTTCACCGACTTCGACGACTGAGGCACTTTTAAATTAGGCCCTCGCGGGCCTCTGCGATCGAACGCCGTCCTTCATAGACAAAATAATCTCTCTCATTTACCTATCCGACGACTCGTGCAAGCACCCACCATCACACATACGCCGCGATGGCGGAGAAGAGTAGGGGTGGCTCTGCCGATGGCGGACCCTCCCTTTATGGCTTCCCAACCGATACACTGAGCAACATGACACAGCTACCCGACTACGATACCGACTTCATCTCACCCGACGATGTCGATGCCTTTGTCCAGGCCCTGGCCGCGCCCGACCCATTACAGTCACCGGCAGCCACCGCTTCAGTGAGCCCGGGCGATGAGGGCATTCCCCTGCAAAGTTCCGGCGGCGCCACACCGGCCACCCTGACCAAACGAAATTCGGCCATGAGCAATACAGACGGCGCCAGCAGCACCGGCGTTGACGCTTCCTTCTTTATTACGGCGAAGAACGACTGGGCTCCCATACGCGAAAGGGTCGAAGAAGCTGACGGCAATTCTTCTGCTTCTGCTTCTGCTTCTGCTTCTGCTTCTGCTTCTGGTGCTGCTGCTCCGGGCCCTCGCCGCACAGCACCTTTCTTTTCGGCAGCGTCTGCATGGCTGCCCTCATTTTTCACGTGGAAGAAATCACCCTCATCCGTGGGCACAACACAATCAGGCGGCGGAAACAGCGGGGTTACCAGCAAACGGTGGCGCCGCCAAGAGCAGCGACGCCGGGCGGCCGCCGCATCCACTGCCGCGGGGAAGCGCTCCCGCAAAAGATCTGACAAGGCCGGATCATCATCCCTAGGACGCCGCACGCGAGACGAGACACGCGAGGGCTATCTGTACGGCCTGCTCAAGTGGCCGTTCCTCATTGGCGTCTTTGGCTGGATAATCGGCCTGTCCATTGCCTACCTCCTCACGCGCATGTACATTGCCGCGTACGAGCAGCTCATCACCTGGCGCGGCCGCCGCCAACGCCTGCGCCACCGCATGCGTGCCACCAATAATTACGCAGACTGGGTAGCCGCCGCCAACGCGCT